CGACGACTGGCAAAGACAGCGGACCCTGCGACTGCGCGGGATAACGCTAGGGAGAAGAAGAAGAAAGTTGCATTCTATCGATTGTCACTAACTACAACTATGATTAACTATCTATTAGCTTTCACTATGAAGCAGTAGCTATCAGATTTACTTGAGGGTGGATGCGAGACAAGAGCCCCCCTAAGGTCGCCGCGCAAGCGAAAGTAGGTCACCGCACGCGGCGGCTACTGGTCTTACAAGTTGGAACGTGGCAATTTGCTAGGACTAAGCAAAAACAAATGCAGAAATGGGGACTACACAGCCGAACAAAAAAGTGTTGTATCGATCGTCCGGAAGGACAGATCTTCGGAAAATGGCCATGTTTCAAACTGCAACAACGCCGGCGCAGTCGCGTGCGGCGACCTAATTTTAGCGCGGCGATCGAGAGAGACACTCGACGGTCTTTCCTTGAGGGTCATCATCAATTATGTTGTCTAGTCAGTATTCGACGCGCTTTCAGTTCTCGGAAGCAGAAGATGTATGCATACATGCTGCTTGTCCGTCCGCAAACCGTCGGAGCTAGGGTCATCCAACAAAAATGAAGTTTGAGGCTACTCTTTGTAACCTCACCTTAGGGCTAGAGCGCTCATTGGGACCCTCCAACAGAAAAGATAAGGACGCCATCGCAATAGATGTGAGCATAATCTAGGACTGATCCTAGGAGGTGGTAGGAACCCCGGCAGGGACAACCCTATCGTTGGTACTTTTGAAATTTTTTTACAACGCCCCACCCTTCATGAGCAATTCGATACGACCCGTTCTGAGACCCAAAAAAACCGACGGTGTAATAATAGGTGCAATTACATGAAAACTATGAGTAGCAGAGAAATCCGTTTTGAATGTGTTGAATCGCGCCCTGACGATGGAGCGCGTTTGCTGATCGGGAACAGGTGACGAACGGGGATATTGAAATGTGGACGAATTTTTTCTTGTTAAATTTCAGGTACTCGGAAGAGGAGGTGGATTTTGGATCACCGAGGCTCAGCCTTTCTAAGTAAAGCTCATTTGTTCTCAAACAATTTGAAATGAATAAGTTATTAAGCAAGAAATAAAATTGCACTACAATTTTTACCTTCCTCTTTCTAGGGCTATAACT